TTGGCCTTTTCTGACCAACCCTGTAGGGGATTTTGGCCTTTGCCGACCAACCCTGTCGAGGATTTTGGCCTTTTCGACCAACCCTGTAGGCGATTTTGGCCTTTTCGACCAACCCTGTAGGGGATTTTGGCCTTTTCGACCAACCCTGTAGGGGATTTTGGCCTTTTCCGATCAACCCTGTCGAGGATTTTGGCCTTTTCGACCAACCCTGTAGGCGATTTTGGCCTTTTCGACCAACCCTGTAGGGGATTTTGGCCTTTTCGACCAACCCTGTAGGGGATTTTGGCCTTTTCCGACCAACCCTGTCGAGGATTTTGGCCTTTTCGACCAACCCTGTAAGCGATTTTGGCCTTTTCGACCAACCCTGTAAGGGATTTTGGCCTTTTCGACGAACCCTGTCGGGGATTTTCGACCAACCCTGTAGGCGATTTTGGTCTTTTCGACCAACCCTGTAGGTGGGGTTTCTGACCAACCCTGTGTCTGACCAACCTTGGTTCTAGGGAGGGGTGGGGTTCTTGTAAGGTTTACCGACAGCAGCAACTTAAAAAAGCCAACAAGCAAGCAACGGTGTTAACACCATGAGATATTTAGGGTTTAACCAACAATTCCTTTTACTTCCGGCAACTTCGGCAAGTTTTCGATTCGACCATGTTTCGGTGATCGACGAGCACCGCCGAACTGGGCAAGTTTTTCAGTTCAACCATGCTTCGGTGATCGGCGAGCAAAGTTAACGCTACTAGTGAAGTGCTGACCAACGGTGATGAGGAGTACAAGCTGTGAAAAAAAAATACTCTGTATTTTCTTAATGTTAGGGGATTCTTTGGGCGGGTGGGATTTTGTCTAAGTCCAGAAATGTAAGCTTGACTAGAAACTGCTCGACCCAGAGCTGCTGAACCCTAAACCCTAAACCCTAAACCCTAAACCCTAAACCCTAAACCCTAAACCCTAAACCCTAAACCCTAAACCCTAAACCCTAAACCCTAAACCCTAAACCCTAAACCCTAAACCCTAAACCCTAAACCCTAAACTCAGGGGGCGCAGGCCGGTGGGCCCTGTCGGCCCACCGCTGCGGCCTCCCCTGCCTTTTCGGCGTTAGAAGGCATCGCCATATGCAGTGTGCCTACACAGCGCTTCTACTGTCTCACCAAGGTTAAGGCCGTGCCACCGCTAAGCAGTGGGTCGACGACAGTACTGTCCTATATATAGTTATACCCTAAACCCTGTGCCCCGGGGGCAGAGCTTCTGCGATTGGGGTGCGAATTCTTAAAGAATAAGAATTAGGAATAAGAATTGGGCTCTAATTCTTATTCTTTAGAGTTTCGCTTTAGGATTTCGCTTTAGGATTTCGCTTTAGGATTTAGCTAATTCTTATTCGTTACATTGCCGTTTGAGGATTTCTTTAAGAATTGGGCCCCAATTCTTATTCTTTAGAGTTTCGCTTTAGGATTTCGGCTTTAGGATTTAGGCTTTAGGATTTCGGCTTTAGGATTTCGGAATAAGAATTGGGGCCAATTCTTATTCTTTAGAGTTTCGCTTTAGGATTTCGGCTTTAGGATTTAGGCTTTAGGATTTGGGCTTTATGATTTCGGAATAAGAATTGGGGCCAATTCTTATTCTTTAGAGTTTCGCTTTAGGATTTCGGCTTTAGGATTTAGGTATAGGATTTCGGCTTTAGGATTTGGGAATAAGAATTGGGGCCAATTCTTAGAGTTTCGCTTTAGGATTTGGGCTTTAGGATTTGGGGAATAAGAATTAGCGAATAAGAATTCGGACTAAGAATTGGTTAAAACATTTGGGCACGAGAATTGCAAGGATTGGTGGACGGATTTTCTGTTGTCAAAGTCTGTTCATAAGAAGTGCCTGTTAATGTAGGCTGGTGGTGGATCTCGAGGGAATCTTCTTTTATGGTGCCTAATTCATATTTGGGATGTTGCTTGAGGATTTGGGTTTTGGAATTTGGGGAGTATAGATTAGCGAATATGAATTGGGAATAAGAATTGGGGGCTATAAATGGGAATAAGAAGTAGGGACTATGAATTGGGCGGCTCGGTGGATGATTTTCGGTTGTCGAAGTCTGTTCATGACGAATGCTTTTTGATGCACGCCGGTGGCGGATCTCGAGGGGACACTGATCCGGGGGCTTAGTGATTCTTTAGGACTTGGTCAAGTATTTGGACCAGGAGCTAAGAATAAGCAGTAGTGACTTGGAATTCGAATAAGAATTTGGAATGTGAATTGAGAACAAGAACAAGGAATAAAGGATTAAGCCTTAAGCTATTTGCTTTCGGACTTTAGTACGCACTCGGAACTTGTTGGTATCTGGCATTTGACACGACTGAGTGGCAGTGACCCTTCCTGGTGACCGAGGCCGGGGCAAACGTTTTTCGCCTCGTTCGACCATTGCCTGAGCGCTGTCTGTCGACGTGTGTTAGTTCGTTAGGTTGGGGGTCGGTAAGTTTCGATTCTTGATGTCTGTCCGGGTGACACAGTGCTATGCATTCGGCTCCATCCTGTGTGGCCTGCGTCGTTGAGACACCGGAGCTCCACCCTGTGTGGCCTGCGTCGTTGATGCACCGGAGTCGTCGGAGAAACGGAGGCATGGCATGGCACTCGAGGTCTCTTTTGTTCGTGACAAGCATTGCACCTCGGCAGTGCTTTGCATTCAGGAAACATGGAACAATCATGTGATCGTAATGGTACTTAAGGTTTGCGTGTCGTTAGGAAGGGGCTTGGTCGGAATACTTGATGGGCCTTGCGTGTCGCTGTTGTGGGGCGGCGAGCAACGCACGAAACTCAGTCTGCATTCGGCATTGCCGCGGTCATTCGGGCTTGCACGAACTTTTTTCGCTCTGCAATTCTGCCGTTCGCACAAATGCCGCTGCGGGGATAGCATCCGCTCCGCAGTCACTGGGGCCACGGCAGCTCGTCTTGTCTCGGAAGATTCCGTAGTTCAGCGATGTTCGGGTGGAGCTGGTAAGGACTGTTTGTGCATTTCAGATTGCTGCTGGCAGGCAGTGGCGGCGGTCGATGCTTCCTACGAACTTCCAATCGCGGTCGTACTGTACCCGCGAGAGTGCTACATACAGTGCTGCCTTCGCGAAAGGAACATCCATCCAAATGGTGATGTGGGACAGGGTGGCACCTTGAATTTTGTGCAAGGTGGTGCTGTAGCCCAGTCGCAGCGGAAAAGCGGTGGTGGTCTGAACGCTGCCATCCCACAAGGCGCACTCTTGAGCGATGGGATGAATCAGGAGCACCTTGCCTTCGTCGGTCTTGACCTGTACGCCGCTGTGTCTCATGCGCTGTACGACCGCACCCATGCCGTTGACGAAGCCGTTCTCTTTGTCCGTGTTTCTGGTGATGGTCACTCGCATGCCTTCGTAGACGGGCATCCAGAATGGTTCTGCAGCGACTTGCGCGGTGCCGTGGAAGTTGTCGAAGTTCTCCTGTGGATCGCAAGGTATGCGTCCAAGGACGTCCGCATCGGAGAAGAGAGCGCGCACTGCGTGCTGGTTCACCTTGGCGGTCCCGCGCCGGGATATGGTGACGAAAGTGGTGTTCGGCCTCTCCTTGAACACTTGGGCCACGTCGTCTGCGGTAACGACGTTGCCGTGAGCGTGGCCTGCATGAGCATTAGCCCGGTGGCCTTTGAGGAGTTTCTTGAGCTGTGCCCCGCTCGGTATTGAGTTCCTCAGTAGTTGTAGCTTCCACTTCAACTTGGCACATTTGCATCGGCGCATCTCGAACAGGGTGGAGATGCTCATCTGGGCCCACCTGGGGCTGTCTCTTGCCGTGGTGCCGTCCGCGCCGGTCAGCTGACAGAAGTCGCCGACGAACACGATGGCGGGCCTTCGCTCGGCCGCGTCCCAGAGCCGAAGCAGTCGATCGAAGATCCAGACGGGGAGCTGTCCAATCTCGTCGATGATGATGAGATCGTAGATCTTCATGATGTCTGCGGTCGTCAGCTCGTCCTTGTGCAATGCGAACATGCCGTGCACGGTGTCGATGTCCAGATCCGGATAGCGACTCCTGTACCGCGTAGCCAACATGCCCGTCGGGCACGCCACACCGACGTGCGCTCCGGCCTTGACGGCTTCGGCCAAAGCGATCTCGACCGCGGTGCTCTTTCCGCTGCCGGCCGGTCCCAATACGACCGTGGCAGTGTTGGCGGGCATTGTTTGATCGAACCACATGGCCCAGGACTCGACTTGGTTGTCTTCTGGCCATTTTGCTTCCAGCGCTTGTTGAACTCGTCGGCGGATGGTGTGGATGACGTTCGCTTGCTCCGGTGCAACCTTGATGTTGGCGCTGGCCACTTTGGCAACTCCGTCCAATGCAGGCTCCGGCTCCTTCTCCACTGTCATCTCCCCGGAGAGGTAAGCGTCGATCAGCTCGATGCGGGCCGCCAGCATGGCCAGCGTGTTCTGGATGTACGTCTCGCTGCGAGCCTCTTTTTCCAACTCCGCTCGAATCTTTTGTGGATCCCGCCAGAAGCGACGGCGGTGGAGTACGCAAAGTCCGAGAAATTTCAGGTTCTCTGGCAGTTTTTCCGCGTTCTCGAGCCAGAGGTCGTCGACATTCCGGAAGGGCACGTTCAAGAGCAACCATTGGCCGTAGCGTCGATCGTTGGTGTGCGCGTACGGGATATCGGCCACCAGGATTTTGCCGTCGGCCGGGTGCACATTAATCCAATCGTTCAGGGGCATGCCGATCTTGAGGTGGCTGTGCATGCGACGGTATTTTTGGGATATCTGGCCGTCGTTGCCTGATTTTCTGAGAAAGTCCAAGAGGCTCATGTTGGGACGTCTCCAGGAACTCGTCATGTAGTTCTGCACGAGCTTGGGCATCTCCTTTTGCCAAGGAACGGGTACGACGAACTTGCGCACGGTGGCTGGGCAGATGAACTGCGGGTGTTGCTGCATCGCAAGCTGCATGACCATTTCGGGCTGCAGCGGGTGGTAGTCTGCTAGCACGCGGCGCGCCAGCGAGTAATCGCTGGCTTAGTTGTTGAGTAGTTCCGCTGCAAAGGAGCTGCTGAACTTCGGAAGGTAGCCTGCGCGGCGAGGTGCAGCAAACCGTGAGGACATCACGACTAAATGCTGAAATCGGTTTACTCGGATTGCAAACAAGGCGCTGGCGCAGTACTTCAGAATCATCGCGCGACCATCCGATGCTTGGACATCTACGTGGCAGCGAAGGGCGGCCAGGACGTCTGAGACGTATGCCCGACAGCATCTTTCGAAAGCTTCGCGAGGATGATGCAGTTTCAGTCGCTGGTCTTCCTTGCTTACCTCGGTGGGTTCTTCGCGTGCCGGCCAGCCGCTTGAGGTGTAGTCCAGTTGGGAGCCCAACACCAGATCGCGCATCTCCGGCTCGCCCTCGCCGGGTATGTCGGCGCGGATCTTCGAGGACAGTTCCATGGCTTGCATGTCCGATAGCCACAGAAGGATGTGCACGTGAACCGCTCCGCGTCCGTGGTAGAACTGGCCGGTTCGATGCACGTGCCGTTTCCGCTTGCCGTCTTGGAATTCCAACCTGGCCACCCAGTGCCGAACTTTGCCGGGTCCTTCTCCGGAACAGAAGACGTGCTCTCGCTTGGCCTGCAGGCCTTCGTTCGCTCCGGTTAGAAGACCTTTCACTGCCTGAGTAAGCACATGGGCCAGATGCAAGGTCTCTGCTACTGGCATCTCGAGCCTGGCTAGGAGAGATTTGTTCAGCTCGTCTTGCAGCCACTGATGGTACGGGAACGACCACTCGTAGGGAGCGATGGTAATGAAGAGGCTCGGCCACCCCACCTGTCGTTGCAGATCCACCAGCGCGGTGTGGTAGGTTCGCCAGAGCTCGGGAGAGTATGGCTTCGTGGCCAAGGCTTCTCTCACGGTCCCCGTGCCGGCGCTGTTCTTGGCTCCTCCGATGGTGGTGAAGAGCCAGAGGTCGTAGACGAAGTGCAGCAACAGTGGATCAGAGTTGTACCCGATTACTGCGGAGTGAGCTTTGGCCAGATAACTTGCTTTGGCGCTCTGTCTCGACGCCTTCTGCTCGCATCCATCGAGGTCTTCCTCGCTGTCCTCTTGCTGATCTCGCCGTCGCCGCTGCAGTCTGCGTGCGTCTTGGGATCTCACGTACGTCTCCGTCATTTCCACGCACCAGTACAGGTGCGGCCACAGCGCGCATTCGATGCCGACGGTCTCGATGAAGTTCGTCGGCATTCGCCTCTCAGGCGTTCCCCACCAGATGTCGCCTCGTTGGATTGCCCTTTGTCTTGCTCGCAGGCGTTTCTCGTGGAGTTGCCAGAAGTACACGTAGTAGGAGTTGGAACGATCTCCCAGCAGATATGCCAATGCTTTCTCCGCTCGGTCTTTCTCTTTCCTCGGAAGTTTGGCAATGTTTTCCTCCACAGAGGAAGTCTTGAACGAGAAGCGCATCATGTCGTTGTGCACCAAGTAGCCGTTGGGGGCTCGCACGGTCCCTCCTGTATGAACATCGAAGGGTCGCAAAGCTTCGATGGCTTCCGCCGACAACTTCCGCAAGCGCTTGGGGACGTCTGCAGGAGTGGGAGCCCAATAACCTGTGGAGCCGCCGGACTTGCAGTGTCCACATGCGGATAATTCCGAATTGGTAACGGCCTTGCCACTGGCATGCTTGGCGCGGAAGGCTTGTGGTACCATGCGGCCGCAGGAACTGCACATCTGCCACGAATCGTCTCGACACCACTTCTCGAAAGCTGCGGCCCGAGGAGGCATCCACTCCGTCTTATCTCGGATGTTTTCCTTGTACAATGCAGGAAACTTTCTTTGCAATCGTCTGTCGGCTCGTTCCTTGCTTGAAGGGGCGGGGGTGTTAGTAATTGTATATGCAGGTTGTTAATTGTTTGGCACAGTTAGCAAATGACTTATATGAGATGTGTAAGTGTAGTTATTGAACTTAGCTATGTTGAAGTTAACTTGGTTAGCTAAGTGTATTTATATGAAAAAGATAAGTGAGCTAAGTGATCTATGTTGCATGAAGCATGCTGCTCAGAGACGCAATGCAGGGCTTTAAAGCTCGCATGCAGTTCTCTTTTTTACACCTGCGGGACTGCGACAATGGCAGCATTGCCCGAAATGCTGTAAGGGCATGTGGCCCGGATCAGTCGGGTTTGCACGAGGCCACAATCGTCGGAGACTTCATACATACAGCCATGGACATGTGTCCAGAAGGTAATGTGCGACCATACAACTTTCTCGCACATTACATGATAAGCCACTTTGCCTACGGCAGTGACCCCATCCAGATCCATCAAGGCCAAGTCGCCGACAGCCACGGTGAAGTTTCCTCCATGCACTGCCTGCCTGGCTGTGAAGACTTCACCCTGGACCCGGATCGTGTTGTGTATCTCTGTTTGCAATCTGGCAGGAGCTGGTCTCACAGGGTCGACCAAGCGAACTCCTTGGCCTGGGAGGTATACACCCTCTGCCAGACTTTCCATGTGACCATGGAGTACATCTTGTAGGATGCTCCTCTCAAAGGTTCTGCTTGTATCCAAAATTTCATTCGAAATTTTTTTGATGATTTTATGTTTTCTTTCGTGCACAAAGCAGCTGAGGAGGACCTGATGCTTGGCCAGTTGCGGCGCCAAATGGCCTGCCAAGTGACACTTTGGCACCCACCACTCATCTCCATACCGACTTTTCGCCAGATCGAGATGCCTTTTGATGAGCTGCTGCAACTGCAGGGGGGTAAATGCTGAAGGTTTGGCATTGATCGCTTGCAAAGCATCAATCACCTTGCACAAAGCCAACCAAACCTCGCAAGAGTCCCGGATATCTCTGCTGCAATTTGGCAGCACAAAGACTAGCACATAGAGTCGCAGCAGCTGCATAAAGTTCAGAGCCTCGCTGGCTCCACACTTCAAGGTTTCGCTTGGCTTTCGCTTCTGCAAGATATCCTTTGCAGCAGCACCTCGCAAACGAGAAGGCCAGGTAAAACCATTTGCGAAGCGATCAATGTCATTGTGCTTCCAGCCATGGTTGTGAAGCTCTCCAAGAAAAAACCCTGTCAGAACATTGAAGATGCCATTGACTAAATAGACATGGAAGTAATCGAACATCACACACTCGATGACCGGAGGCCCGTATGCTGCATGTGCCAGCAATCCATCCTCTTTGAAATTGAACCCCATTGCTGTTTGGAGTTGCAGGAATCTGTCTTTGTTGAGGACCCTCTCTTGCCTTCGCAAGAAGTCCATGGTGTCTCGTATAGACTCGGGTGTGTGCATCCGAAAGCAACTCATGTCGGTTTCCAGGCCGGACACCATATTGCCCCGACTCCTTTCAGCAATGCTGCTTTTGTGGTCCACGGCGTTTTGGCATTGAACACAGAATATGAGCCCACTGGCTCCTTTATTGAAAAGGGTAGCCTTAATTGCAGCTTCGTCGGATATGATGATCTTCAAGTCGGCAAAGAGCATACGTGCTTGTCCAGGGCACTGCAACACAAGACCTTTTCTGAAGTCAGGTCTCTCAAAGAACAAGGCTGCTAGCTGCCTGAAGAGCACAGTCATGCCGCCGAGATCTGCGACCAGAGAGCTGCGAATGGCACAGAGAGTGAACCAGCAATTTTCGCAACCCATTGCATGCTGTCCCAAAGGGAGCAGGCTCCAATATACAGCCTGGACCTTTCTCCGGTTGGAGTGCTTGAGTTGGTTGCCCGGAGCCAGCTCGTCGGAATACCACACCAATCCCCATGGTTGAAGAATGCTGGGGGGTGTGGCATCCATGGCCCTCTCCAGGAACTCGCCAAATGGTCGACATCGCTCTGTCGCCCAGGCAAGCATTGCAGCTGGGTTCAAGACAGGAAATTCAAACTCCACACCAGTTTCGGCAACACACTTGAAGTCGCATAGGATCTCGCCATAAGCAGTTTGGTAGCTCCGAGTCTTCTCATCCCGGGCCCGCTTCAGTGTTCGGCGACTCGTCCCAGATGGCAACTCGGGCAGCTCTTTGAGTTCCTGCAAGACCTGACTGAGACCTCGCTGGGATACATATGATTTCCTTCCCAAGCAGGAGAGCGAGGAGCTCCCGGCGGAAGCCATGGGGTCTGCTGGCGAGCTCTTGGCCCTGCCGAGCGACCCACTACTTTGACTGCAGATTCATACATATATATATATATATGTATATCTGTATAAAAGGTATACTATATATAGGAAAAGTGGATGGGAGCATGCAGGCACTGTGTACGTACCTTATATATCTATATATATATATACAGAGATATGTTTTGTTTACATGTATATATGCATGCTCTTTGTTCCTGCAGGTTTCCAAGCATATTGCTGCAACGGTGCAACCCCACTGCGAGCAGTCCGGGAAACTCCAGTGCAAGGCCAAGACAACCTTTAACCATAAACCCGAAACTAAATATTTGATATATATATATATATGTATACACAGAAACCCGAAAGCTATAGATATATAGCATCCGAGTATTGATTTGTACACATATATATACATGTATATACAGTTATATATATAGTATATACCACACCAAACCTAACCTAACACCAAACGTGATCCTGAGACACATCTTAATAAATCGCAAAGCCATATATAATATATACATGTACAACTCGAAAGCTTCAACATAGCTCTCGAAGAAGGGTCCACATTCGCACCCTCCTAAAAGGACACCCCTGTATAATATATGTGTGTGTATATATATATATATATATATATCAATATATATTCAACCCATATATATATATAAAGTATATATAGGCTCCTATATATATATATATATATATACATCCCATATGTAAAGTATATCTATGTATATATATGTATATAACACATATATAATATGCCACGAAACAAAAACCCGGATCGTGCAGGCATCCTGCACCACCGCTTTTGACACCTGCCAGGATCGCTTCGGTCTTTCCCTCCGTGGCAAGCGATGCTCCCAACATTATACCTCCCGAGGTACAATGGCTTTAATGTACACACAGCCTTTGTGAAAGATGAATAATAAGGTGCATGCTTCCTGGAGGCTCGCGAACAAAACTTTGCTGATGCTGGAAGACACCAAAACACGTCAACATGCATATAGACTTAAGATGTATACACTCTGCCTGTAGCCTCCAAACTCTCACCCTATATAGGACTCCAGCTGTGCATGCTTTCAGCAGCTGTTGATGCAATCACGGGCCAAAGCACGACGGTGTGCAGCCGGGCCTGTTCCGGCACTTGCCACACCCATTGGGTCGCAGCTTGATGCGAGCCGACAAAGTCATGCATCGGACCTCTTCTCGAGTGAACTTCTTCAAAGCCTTCTGGACCTTCTTCGGCTGCGACTTCGCCTTCGCCTTGCAAGCAGCCTTGGCCTTCGCCTTGGGCTGCGACTTTGCTTTGGGCTGGGACTTCATGGCCGTGCACTTGGCCTTCGCCTTAGCCTTGGCCTTGGCTTTACCCTTGGCCTTGGCTGCAGCCTTGGGCTTCTTATTTGCCTTGTGCTTCGCCTCGTTTTCCTTGGCCTCGGCCTCGACGGTGCTGTCGAACCCTTTGTTGTCGCCCTTCCAAGCTTGAAGCATTTCATCTGCATGTTGTGCAGCACTGACAGGATCCTTGCTGGCCAGCACTCCCTGTTGCTCGGCCTGCTTTGTTCCGCTGCCCTGTGCCGGTTCATTGGTAACTGTAGGAAGCTGCAAGGCCTGCTGTTGAGCAGGCGAGGAGGCCATCGTCCCAGACGAGGCGGCAGCAGCTGGGTCGCCGAAGATTTTCAACCCAGGCAATCCATCGTTCTTCTTCGCCAATTGCTGCTGCTGGTTGAACATGTTAGCTGCCATGCTGCCCCAGAACTGCATCATACCCTGCATGGTGTGGGGCATGTGCATTGCCGGGCCTGCTGCTGGACCACCCAGCACCATGGCAGTGTTGCTCTTGTGGAAAGAGAGGCTTTTGTTACTGCCACGAAGAGCATCACGGGCCAGCACCATTGTTCCAGGCAGCTCACCTCCCAAGGCATCTGCGAAGCGATCTCGGGTGTGTGGTGGAAGATCCTCAGGCCGAGTGTACTTGGCGACGAACTCGCCACAGGAAGCATCTTTGAGCATGGTCTTCACCTTCTTCTTGAGGCACACGACAGCCGAATGGAACTCGTCGGGGCTCTGCAAGCCAGTATTGTTGCAACTCTGCAGGGTCTTGATGATGTGTCCCACAGACTGTTCTGATGGCCAGAACATCTCCAGTCGAGCCATTATCTGAGCAGTGTGAGTCAGCCTCATGACGAGGGTGTCGTCGCTGGACAAAACTCTCCGGTCCTCGGCGCCCAAGAAACCCCAGAAGTTGAGAATTTCCTGGTTCTTCTTCTTGGCCTTGGCATTTGCTGGAGTGCTGCCTGCCAAGGTCTGGGAGACGGCTGCACCCAGGGCCTGCTTCTGCTCGTGTGACCAAAGGCCCTGCTGCACCAAGCTGCAGATCTCTGCACCCTCCTCGACTGTGATGTGGCTTTGACGAATCGTTCTGATGGCGACCTCGCTCTGAGCAGCCAAGAGAGAAGTCCATTGATCTCCCATGATGGGCTGCTGGGTCTGGAGGAGCTGGTTCAGCTGTCGAAGGAAAGCAGCTGCCATTGCACGGCCGGATATAGCACAGATGCTCTGCACAAAGCGAGCTGCTGTAGCCCTGCTTGCGAACACCTGTCTATATAGAGCAGCAGCGGGCAGCAGGCAGATGATGGAGTGCATGTGCTTTGCAACACACAAGCATGTAGCCTGCCACTGGAGACGTCTTTCACATTGCATGCAGTCACAGACCGGAAGACTTCACCAAAGGGGTCTCGGTTTCGCAGGCAGGGCTCTGAGCTCGCCAGCAGAACCCGTAGACACCCTCAAGAGCACAGCCATGTTACTACAGTATACCGACACCTGCAGGCATGCAAGTGTGTAATATATGTGTATGTAAGTTCAGAGATTCAGTCCATTTCATATACACATAAATATATATACACATATATGTATGTATATATATATATATATATGTGTATATAAGAATATATGAACGATATGTTTTGGTATCTGTATATGTATATGTATATATACATATACATATCGTGTATATATACATATATATATATATGTATGTGTGTGTGGGGTAGATACACATCTCACATGTAATAGGTATATATGCAGAGTGTGTAAAACTGTGTATGTATATGTACTTCAGTGAAATCCATGCAGCCACTTTGCTATGTAGCAGTCTCTTCCTTCACAGCCAACCCCCCTCCCACCAACCCCCTTGTACCTTCCCTCGCTCACTCGTTCTCTGTCTCTGTCTCCCTCTCTCCCTCTCCTCGTTTGTTGCTCTTTGTCGCAGACACAAACACACACACACATGTTGCCATGGGGGTCTGTGTGCCTCATGGGCCTGACCAAACGGTGCACACTCGGAGGATGGGCGGTTTTTCTTCAAACTGGCCCATATGGTCTGTGGTCGTGAAACAGTCACAGGACGAGGCCCCGGTAGCCCGAAGCCTCGGCTATACAGGGGGAGATAGCCCCCTCGCCGATTCGTCTTCTGCAGCCCAAAGCTATTTCTTACCTATATAGTTTTCCTACTTATTGCCTAGAGAGGCCAGAGGACAGGGAACCACGAGGGCACTGGGAAAGCAACCCTTTATGCATGCATAAGGGGCCTGACCCCCAAAACCCGAAACCTTTATGTATGCATAAAGGTTTGTGCCCTTGGCCCTGCCGAGGTTTATGCATGCATAAGCCCCGCCCTAGGAAACTGAACCCAGCCATATGCATGCATAAAGTTCCGGTCTATTTTGCTTAAGGGGCTTTATGCATGCATAAACCCCGGCCATCGGGACTGGTAGCCCTGACCCTCTGTGCCCGAAGCGGCGAGCCGGAAAATGCCCCCAATTTCAGGTCCTTCGCTGCTCACAGCATGCAGGACCTTGGGATCCAAGCAAGCAGGCCAGGCCGTATATAGAGCAACACAGGCGGTCTGAGCTTCCAACTATTAGCGGCTCCCCTGGTCTCCAGGCCACAAACCAGGGGTGCCAGGCAGGAACCATGGGATCCTGCCAGGCATTATAAGTTTCAACACCATCAGGACAGAAAGGCTCCTCGGTCACAGCACAGGCCTCAACGGACTCGCTTCTCTTGCAGGTTCATCGTCTCGGCCATGACCCCCATGGTGTGGAGGGAGGCCCGCAAGTCCTGCATGTCGGGGCTCGCGGTGTCTTCAGCTTTGCTGTTCTCGTGGATTGGCAAGCAGCAAGGGTCCTCCATGTGGCTTCGGGACTCCTCCAAGGCCCCTTGGGCCTGGAGTGCCCGGACACCTTGGCCACCACGTGTCCGGGCCCTCTTTCTCCCCATGCCCGCCGCCCACTCCTGCAACGGGGCCAGCAGCAAGCAGAGGCAAACCTGAAGCACCATCACAAAGACCAAGGCAAGCCTGCCCGTGCTCGTCGATGAAAGCGACCTGCCCAAGAAGACTGCATCAGTATAGAGACAAGTGCAGTCGTGCATGCCAGACCCAAAGAAAAAGCCTTGGGCTTCACGTAGTGCCCTTTGCCCTTCGTGTCCGGCATCAGATCTCCTCAATCCAGACAACAAACACTTGCAAAGAAGCCTGGCTCCAGACAACCACAAGAAGTCCTTCGTCCCAGTTCGAGGGCAAAGCCTGCCACAGATGCAGCATGCATTATATACACAGTGAACAGCTATATGCTTGCTGTCCTTGGTCTTTGGCACGGGGTCCATGTACCTCTTCGGAGGCGGGTCCTGCAATCAAACAAGAAGTACATTATATCGCCTTACGAAGAAATTCCGCCTTCGGCTCCGTTGGGCGCTGCTTCTTGCTGTTCGCCGGCTTCAAGACAACTGGCGAGCAGGCACACTAGATATGTACGATGGAGCAGCATGCAAAAGCAGTTGCAATGACATGTCGGGCATGCTGGGCTCGGCCGCTGGATCCTCGACGTCCACCTCCACGGTGTCCGACTCCTCGTGGCCTGCATGCTGCAACTACATGGATATATACATATGGACTCCTTGAGCTTCAAATACCCGGCCTTCCAGGCATATCACAGAAGCTTTAAAGTCTCCCACATCGTCGTTCCAGTAGAGCCACCCGCCTTAGGCGACAACGGTTTTCTTCTACCCAAATTAAGAAAACACCTAGGACCAGGGCTGGCAGGCACGTTCATGGCCTGCACGTCTGGGTGCTTGAAGTACATGTCACCTGCACGAGTGCACGAGCCAATTCACTTGATTCCATGCAGACACTATATATAACTGCAGCCTCCAACAGACAGGATCTTCCACCCCATCTTGGCCGACCAGGAAATCGTGGTGCCTGCAAAACAATTGCAACCAAATGAAAGGCTATATATCCATATCACTTGCATGGGGGCACCGGCCTTCATCATTCTTGTATTTCCCCCTCCCGGACTTCGAGAAGTCCGTGTGGAGCTGCAGCCGCTCCACCACATCGGCCTGTTATTTTTGGGGCGGTGGCATGTGTGTGCATGTGGTTGTACAGGGGCCCCACCTCCACAGCGGAGGGAAGGCTTCGCGACAAGAAGCTAAAGGACATCATCACTCCCAAAAACCACGGCAGCTTCACAAGCCAAAAGAGCTGAAAAAGCAAGCATGGCGCAGACGTGGCACCCACTGCAACAAGGGCAAATGTGCATGCAGAAACACGACACCAATGTTCAGAGAGCTTCGGTCGATGTCGTCTGTCCAAAGACAGCATCGGGCAATCAAAGTGTGGAGCCGTTGTGAGTTTGCATCATTGACAGTAATATATACATATGTATATATATATATATATTTTTTTTTTCACGGTGTGTTGATACATACTATACATCAAGTATACACATTGCATGGATGCACGGAAGATACATGCGAGACTGCATGCAGAATCACTTCTTGGCCTTCGCCGGGGAGCCAACGATGCCCTTCGGGGCCGGGTTCTTGGCCGGGGAGCCATTCAGGATGCTCTTCAGGGCCGGGCTCTTGGCTTTGGCCTTGGCCTTGCCCTTGGCTTTCGCCGCTGGAACCTTCTTGGCCTCCTTGTCGGAATCCTCGCTGGCATCGGTCTTGTCCCGGGAGCTGTGCCTTCTTTTCTTCCGATCGACAGGCATTTGTCGATTCGCCTGCTCCATGAGCCAATTGAAATTTTCGGAGAGCATCTCCACGAAGATGCTCCCGGTAGACAGGCCCTCGCTGAGGATCGACAGCTGAAAGCCATCGATCGTAATGTCGACGATCGCCGGCAACAGGTGCAAATGCTTGGCCAAAGCCTTCACCTTATCCTTCTTGCATTTCTTCTTCTTGGGCTCGTCGTCGGCTTCATCGTCCCTCAGGGCCTCTTCCAGCAGCTTGTCGCAAGCAGCCTGCCTCTTCTCGATCAAATCGTCAAAGAGCTTTATGTTCAGCGACCCCGATGATTCCCCTTGGCCGGACCGCAAGTCCAGTCGTTTGCCTGTGATCATTTTCACAAGCTGCGGGGACCATTTCGAGACAGCACAGAAGACCCGGTCGTCGACACTCTTTTGGGTTGGCATCCAGCTTCGGTCACCCAGCACGACAACCTGTTTCGTCACAATCTCGAAGCAAGCCATGATGATGCGATGCACGGGGGAAATGGTTTGATGCGAGGCTGGAGCTGTTTTCTGCCGGCGAGCACACATGCCCTGCCTAGGCGAAAACGACACATCCATGCAAGCAGCAACTTCAACAATGCACCTGCACTTCATCACGGGCGATGCATCCTGCACTTGCATACAGAAGCATATAAAGCTGCACTGCATTTCCATCCGCAAAGCACAAGCTCGCACACCTGAGGGATCCTCGCACCATGCAGCTGCACAGAACACTCTATGAATGGTCGCTCTATAAAAACCATGCCCCTCGGATGCTTGCAACCTGCAACAATTGTACATATCCTTCTCCGCAATGCATTAGAAACAGACCTCACATATACATACAATGGAATCTTTCAGATACTGCAAGCTCAAGCAATGGCTGCTGCTGGTATAGCAGCACACTGGACTGCATACGGATGCCGAAACATCACTTCTTCTGAGCCTTCTTGCTGGAGCCACCTGAGCTCGCCGATGCTCTTTTCTGCGCCGAAGTCTTGTGGTCGTCCTCCACTTCCTCCAAGGGAGCCACCTGCACCGTTTTAGATCTGAAAGCCACAATGGGGCTGCCTTCCGGGATCTTCTTGGTGTTCTTAAAAACCGGAATCTTGATGCTCTTCTCTGTTCCCGCAATCCAAACAAGCTTCACATTGCAATCCTCTTCCTGATGGCTGTGCTGCACCAACCAAAAGGGAACTACCACATGTTTGCAAGTGTCGTCGTCGTTATCTTTGGGTAGAATGTTGGCTCCGGAAAGCCAAAACTTGCGGTCGTCTCCTTGCCAGTCCGTCTGCACCTCAAACATGGTGTTGCCTTGGCCCTGGGATTTCTGCACGACCTTGTTGGTCATGGGCACCATGCAGAGTTTCTTGATGTCCGAGTTGGCAAGCAACACCCTCGAAGGCTTCAGCTGCAATTTCAGGTGCTCCGATCCACACTCCATGGACTGGTGAAGCTTGTAGAGCTCAAGCTGAATCTTCGATGCAAGAATGCTGGCATCAAAATCCACATGGTGCTGGTACTGGTCCAAGCTGTCTAGCATTGTGGGCTGCACACGAGGAACAAACACGACCCAATCTCCAGCCAGGATAACATTGAGATCCACCTTGGCCGTCTTTCCCGAAGCCATCTTCACAAAGACCATCTGACCTTTCACTTCTGAAAGAACTCCCTCGATTTTGTCAACCTTGCGACGGATGTGTGCACCCATAGCGAAACCCTTGGAGGCCAATATCTTCTCAGGTTCCTTGATACTGCCGTCTTCAGCAAGCTCAAGCATCACACCTGCAGCAGAAGGCTGGGAAGCAGTCGCTGCAGTTGCAGCTGGTTCACTTTGCTCAGACACCGACTCCCATGGCAAAGGGAGTGCAACACCGGTCAGGTTTCTTGCCACGAGCAAAAAATCGTGCCCAATCGCTTGGACTGTTTTGTACTTTTTCTCGTCCGGCACCTTGATGCCGAGGACGTGCGATGCTATCGTCATATCCATAGTGGCCAGAGCTTGCACGACCCGCGAATCCGTCATGAAATCGCGAGCTCCATCCCTTAAGATGCCCCTGACCGTGAGGATCATGTTGTCAGCTTCCTTGACCTTGGGGAAGAGTTCTTTAGAAGTCATCTTCTTCACATCAGCAATGGTCACATTCTGCCTCAAGTATGCCTGCTTCATGAGTGCATGGCGAAATGCTGCAACGGGATCTGACTGGTGCCCTCGGCAATCTTGCCCGAAAGCCTCCCACAGGACAGGCCCCAATTGCCGAGAAGAAGGGCAGTAAGCCCGCACAAAGGACTCCGTCTCCTGAAGGAAGCTCGCATCGGCACCCCCGGAAGCCTTCAGACAAAACGTAAACATGTGGGGTACGGAGGCATGGCAGCTTGGTTTGCTGGCCAATATCAACTTCTTCAGAGATGCAAAAGCCGGTGCTTGGCCAGTCTGAGTCTGCAAGCGGTAGTACGTGGAATGGATGCGACGGAGTACTTGTAGCTCATGTTCTCCTCGTTGAAGCGATGTGTTGCCTGACCGGGATATCAAGCTGATCAGCTCTGGGAACTCTTCCGCCACGGAGGAGGAGATCACGTCCCACGTCAGGCCTTGATCAGCTGCTTCGTGGAACGAAGCATCCCGAGCACGAAGAAGCTCCATGCTGAGCTTTCCACCCACACTCACGACCTCGTTGCCGTGGCTTGCACCTTGTTGAAAAAGTCGCAAAGCGCAATTGGTATGTGATCCGCAGATCGAAGTGATCTTGATCGCTTCCGGCTCAAGGCTTCCGAGAAGACCGTGGGCTGACTCGAACAGCTTCTTGTTCCACTGCCGGACCCAGTCTCCTTCGACTTCGACACCGACCGCATGCACACGTGTGGGGACATAGCCCACATCGACAATCGAGTCCACAAGATCACGAACGTCTTGTGGATTCACTCCGTACCCATCCCGGTTGCAGGGATGGATCCCCACAAGGCTCGCCTCCAACTTCATGGAGGTCAAGAGATGCTTGGACTTCAAGTAGTTCAAGCAGTTCTCCACGATTCGGACAAGGCCGTCGCCATCCGAGGCTTCTCGAAGGAAAGCCTGCAGCCGCTCTCGCACATCCGACTGCAAAGGCATGATGGGCAAGCGAGATGGAGGACGGAGCTGAAAATCTGCCTGCGAGCCAAGGGCCCTGCAATGGCGATAGATGGCTGCAATGCATGGAGTCATGCACAATACACAGAAGGCAAGCATGCGAGCATGTCCTCAACACATGCAATGCAGCAGCTTTCCATGCAATTTTCAATTGCATCCTGAATACATGCGGCAGGAGATCTCCATGCAAGCTTCCGTTTCAAGCTTTGCAAATGCCAGGAAAACAACTTCAAATAAACAACTTACACCACTTACCTAAATCAGTTACACAAAGTTATCTAAGTTTGGCAAGTTGCTTAAAAGACTTGTTCTATCTTACTTATAAGTTCCACCCTGCTTTTGGCTAAGTGACTCAACTGCTTGCTCCACTTCTTAATTCAAGCCTCGGACTTGCTAAGTTGTCCATACAACATAGTATATATACAGCACTTATAACTCATGTTAACGAACTTGTAACTCAACTTAACCTGATTGTCTAAATCTCCTAAACCATGTATTCGATTACTAAACACCCCGCCCCTTCAAGTGGTGGTTTCGAATTCCAGGCGAGCGGCCTTCGTCGTCGTCACTGTCGACTGACGATATTCCAGCGAAGTCTTCCATGTGGTCGTGGGGCTCTTGTTCTTCTTCTTCTTCTGGGCGGGCTGCTTCGGCCCGAAGCGTTCGATCGTTTCTTGGCCGTGTTCTTGTTGAAGTCTCTGTAATGCCCGGGTGTAGCGGTCGTCGTCGAAGCTTCGCAGTTGCGTGAGCCATCTTTGAATGCATCGGCCGTTGCCTTCTTCTGTCGCTGCACGAAAGGCGTCCGCGGAGCAGAAGACGCAGTGCTGAAATCTCACGCCATCGCGAGATCGAACGTAGGCCATTCCTCGGGCATTGCGGCGCGTCACTCCGAAGCAACATTCCGGATTCTGGCACTCCATGTCCTGTCTGGGTGGGGGACGTAGGTCCACCCAGCCGATGCTTCCTGTCAACCTGCTATAAGGACGAGGCCGTTGGTAAGCTTCCACGTCTTCGAGGACCCACGCGTAAATGGTCGTGTAGGTGATAATCGAGAGGTCGTCGATCTGGTGCAAGTGTCTGTTGGCCTCGAGGTCTTCTCGTGTAATCTTGATACTTTGACGAATTGTCATCTCTCCCAGCAACCTCTTGGATCCAGACTCAGCGATGCAGATCCTCTCGTGCAAATGCTTCTTGCAGTTCTGTCCTTTGATTTCCCAAATTTTGCTGCCATCTAAGATCTTCCGGCACCATTCTGGCTTGATCGTCAGTGCCCACCGCGGAGGTTCTGCTGTCGGTGATGTCACCTCCTCCACTGCAAACGTCGCCGGATCTGCTGTGCGTTCCACGGGCGACGATCCCGTTGCTCCTGCCGACGTTTCAGCCTCTCTTGGATTCACACGCTTCTCCCTCTGTTTGGGCGGAGCGTGCAGGTCCACCCAGCACGGGTTTCCTGGCGACCTGCTGAAAGGACGAGGCTGTTGGTAAGCTTCCACATCTTCGAGGACCCACGCGTAAATGGTGGCGTAGGTGATCGTGGAGAGGTCGTCGATCTGGTGTAAGTGTCTGTTAGCTTCGAGGTCTTGTCGTGTAACCTTGAAGCTTTTGGCAATTGTCATCTCTCCCAGCAAACGGTTTGTGCCAGATTCCGCGATGCAGATCCTCTCGTGCAAATGCTTCTTGCAGCCCTGTCCTTTGATTTCCCACACTTTGCTTCCGTCCAGGATTTTACGGCACCACCGTGGTTTGATTGTCAGCGCCCAACGCGGAGCTTCCGCTGCTGTCGGCGGTGCAACTTCCGTTGCTGCGGGCCTGGCTGCAGCCGCCGCGGGTCCTGCTGCCAACGACCTCTTCGTTCCCGCCGAGGTATGGACGTTTGCGGTGTGCACGTCAAGCAGGCGAAGCTGCCTTGCTAGTTCTTCGTCGCCAAGTATGGCTTCGATTTCCTGCAGCTTCTCCCGGAAAGCCTCTGGATCGTCCTCGCGGACTCGGTGGAGAAGAGCTGTTGTTTCCCGTTGCTCACGATCTGGCCGACGACGCCTTGCGAACTACAACTCAACGGATTCAGTCTTCGTCCGTCTGAGTTCCCTGCGCTTCGGCATAGATGTCTTTGATGCCCCTGGCGGTGTTTACGCTCGTCAAGTTGGTTCGGTTGCTTGCTGTACCGGGTGCCGGGCCATGCGGATCTTCCGGAATCGCTTTCATCCTCGCGGTTCGACTGCAAAACAACAAATGCTTGATTTGCTGTGGTAAGCGTCCTCTGAGGAATCCGTCATCGGCTCCGTCATGTGACCTGATAGTAGCGTGCTCGGTATGAGGAAGCCGTGGTGCTGTTGCTTTGCAGCGAGGCCGGGGT